TTTAATGTTTGCATGTAATGCTATGATTCAGTCGTATTGGAAGCGTTGCGCGATGTTTTTTTTCCAGAAAAAAGCACACCTATTAAAGATAGCGCAAAATAGTTTGTGGTGGGTAAGACGCGTGACTTCAATTATTATTGGGGCTACCACCATGTAGCGTCTTATACGGTTGGGGCCCCAGCCCCCAACTTGGGCTTCCACCCCCGTCCCCTCCCGTAAACTTTGAGAAGAAAGTGAGGCAAATCCAGAGATAAACCCGTTTCCTGGCGTATGTGACGGGGTAGTCTTGGTCATTGCCACTGCTCAGACCACTAGCTTATTACGTCACTGGCGACACACTCCGGCATGTTGTGAATCACAGGCCCAAGACGGCGAACTGTGCCTCGGGAAAGCGTGGCATGGAACCTGTATGTACGTCACGTTCTCTCCAGTCCGACAGATGCACATCAATCACCTTGGCAGACACGGAATTTTCACCTTGGCCATGTGATTGGAGAGGCGAGAGGAAAGGCTGGAGGATAATCTGCATTACATCAATCGGTTACGACATTGGCGGACCTCCCAGCTCGTTGTGGGAGCCAAGGGCGTGACCGTGACTGACTTATGAAGACACGTGACCACCTCGATTGCGGATTAGTTGTGATTGCTTATGCGTCGTGAACAGATCAGAGCACATATTTCACAGCATGCATTCAAATCAGAAAAGCACTCAGAGTCTCCGCGTTTTTGTATTCATCGATGTGTAGGGTGCGGGGCTTGGGCGACCAGCGCTTTTCGCTAGCGACATCTATCTACATTATAGCAAACTACACCTTCGGGCGCGACCTTCAGACAGTGGCGAAGTTTTGAGCGCTTTGGCATCGAAGGCCATTTCGAACAATGTGTTTTAACATTGAATTTCGGACAATACAACTCACATTTTACTGTCGGCACGTTGTTGTCTGAGTGAATTTTTGTGTCACACCTTTATATTTACTGGAAGGAGCATGAAGTGACAAAGGCTAAGGGGGGGGGGGGGGGAGGGCGGGGCACAGGGTGCATAACCCCTCCCCCTTCCCTACGCGGGAGGGGGCTATGCTATGATCTATGATCTGAGGTGAGGTGAGATGATATGATATTATCTATGATGAGGGACTATGATCAATCGCCTGCTTTGAGGGCCCGAAGAGTTAGCCGGCGATTGTGTTGAGGGGACGAGTATAGCCCTGCCGAGTCTATGTGGGAATTCTGTTGATCAGGGATCACCAGTACCGAACAACAGGCTCCGGTTTCGGTCTGAGAGCCTATTTCCCGAGCAGGGATAATACCGGGTCCCGTGACCTACATTGGTTGAAGCTCCTGATTCAACGATAAGCCAGTGTGTTGGCTAGGTGTCACAGTGTCTAATACGGGGTTCTGTAATGGCAAGGGGCCCCGAAAAGGCCAGTGGCAGTGCTAGCTGAGGCCTAAAGAGGAACCAGGCCTCAAGAGGTCCCTCGAGACCGACGATCAAGGATCGATTGGAAGGATGCAGGACCCGAAGATCTCGAAGAACCACATAGGCTACATTAAGGCAACTGTAGGCCACATTTAGGTTCTCGGTGCTCAGAGCCATGATCCCAGATACCAGTTGGAAGGACTCCAGCACCGATTGGGATTCCCTGAGACAATGCGAGCCTCTGTTTCAGCTAGAAACTACCGACACCCATCAGTTGGCTTCGTGTCGATATGAGCCCGCCCGCGATTAGCATTTTCCTGCCTGCCACGATGAGGGGACCCCTGTGTTGGTCAGGGATCCACGCTGCCTAAAAGGGGGTCGGATGCCAGGAAAGGGTCCCGAGTCGGCCAGGGGAGCATCTACTGAACAGAGCAGGAATCTGGGGAGCATCTGCTGAACACAGCAGGGACGAATCATCTAATACCAGAGTTGCGCTGCGTTGTTCGGGGCGCTCGGAACTTGACCGGGGCCCTCGGGACATTGACAAGAGATATACGAACTTGTAGTGAGTCTGCACAAGGGGGGGGGGGGGCTCATTCCTATTTCCTCCCAAAGACTCGTTAAACTGAAATGTATTCTGCAGGTATCAGTTACTCGGAGCACCTACGGCGATAAGGAATCTTGTTGCGTCAATCACGGCTTCTTAGCCGACCTGGGGCCAGCTATCCGCGTCAGGGGGGGGGGGGGGGATCAATACGTGATGGATCCCTCTCATGGCCTCTGAATCCACCAGGGGACCCCGCCCCCGTATCACCGGAATAGCAGCTGGTTGGCACTCCGCGCTGGCATAAAATGCCGTTTAGCCCTTAGTATGTTATCGACGGTCCCCGTCACGTAAAAATATAAGGGCTCTCATTGGTGTTCAAAAGAGTGTATTGAAACAACATCAAAAATTAAAAAGGCCAACCCAGTTTGTCTGAGAACGTTCGCCGATTTGCAGAACCCAGTGCCGAAATAAAATCAAAATTTTTGAGCTCGTGTGCCAGCAATCTTAGAAGCAAGAGAAGCTATGGTTATGCTTGCAATTTAGATAGAAGCAAACGACGTTGGCCGCGTGCTGCTAACATCATGGGCGCGCCAGGCGCGCGCGAACAGCCGTCGTGAAATCATGCCTTCAAAAGTTTCTCAAAAACATTTTGCACCATTCAAAGATGAGATTTTGACGTATATTTCACTTAATAATTTTGAGAATGACCGCTGAACAGCTTGACAGCTACCGCACTACGACATTAGATATTTTATTTTCACTCTTCCGTTTTCACCACCAGATGTAAGGACCAGTTAACGATGCTGCAATTGCTTGTCCATTCCTTTTGTCACTACAAAAATCATGCAGGTGAAATATACACTCGGCCTGCCTTCCAAACACGCGAATGGTGTCTGGAGCGGTCAAAGAAGCTTCTTTTAAATGTGACGTCATGACTTCCGCCCGCTGACCACTGCCCAGTGTTAGCCGCGCAGCCAACGTCCCTCGGCCTATGGAGACTGCAACGCCGGGCGTCAAGGATTTTTTGTTTCCAGGACTGGCGAACGTTGATGTTCAAGACTATGTTATGTTTTCCACCAATTGGCTCTGCCTGGCATTGTGATATGACTGTTATTAATGTTAAATATTTGCAGACGAATATGCTTTGGTCATGATAATGCAAATTTTGGTCCCCATTTCGATATGCAATGCATGTTCACGAGGCCCTCAATATTTCTGTAGAGCCAAGAAACAAGGTATGTAAAGCCACTGCGTTTTTGGATTCAGAAAGAGGCCAATGAGTCACTGCAACATGAATGACACTGGATGTTTATTCCATGCAGCCAATTTAACGTCCGCTTCCTTCAGTTTATTGACAGCAAATTAAAAAACGTAGTTGCATCTTCCACTAACTTTTGGTTTTGTTCCTGTCAAGTCATAAACAAACAGAAATATCTGAAAAACTGTGACTTTTCAGAACCATTTGGCACATATGCGGAGATATTGGGATGCTTTTATCTCCAGGGAGACCTTTTTCAACCCTGCGTCCCCCTCCCCCTTAACAAGGCTCTGGCTGTGACCCTGGAGGCACGGCTACCCGACATGTACCCACTACACCGGCTGTGTTAAAGCCGCCAGGAATGGGCCTTATCTATTCAGAGAAAAACTTAACCCATAGTTCACAACCCATTCCGGCTGCTTATTAGCAGCCCCTTATGTGAGATCATTGCAACATCATTTCATCCGCCCCTCTCATCCCCCCTTTCATTCCATTTCTCGTTTTGTCTTGCATCCCGCAACGCCCCGCCAGTTCAGGGCAGGCTGCATGCGACAACCTCGAGTGGGCCGAAGCGCCCCTTGGTGGTGGTCCTCGTACCAGCGCCGAGCCCACGTCCCCTGCAGTGGGATCCATCTGCGGGCTGAGACTCGAAGTATGCGTCCCAAGGTGCATGTAGTCCTGTCCCACTCAAGCATCTATGGCGGCGTTCCACTGTTATCCATAATAACCAAGTCCGCCCGTCTTTTCTCATACTCACCTTCTCGTGGGGCATTGTATTGTATTCTGAGTATTCGCTCCACATTTATCATGCTTGGTTAATTCTGAATCCTCGGGATACCCCTTTTGTCCGGGGCAGACCGCTTGCATTAGTCATAAGTGGGCCCGAGCGCCCCCTGGCGGGGCTCCGTCCGAGCGCTGAGCATAAATCCCGAATAGGATCCCTGAACGGCCTCAGACTCGGAGAAAGCCCCCCTGCCCCCCCCCCCCCCCCCCCGCCCCCACCCCGGTGCGTGCAGCTCTGCCCCACCGTTATCTCCTCCCCTTCATACCATAATCCTGGTATGGTCATGACTGGCCGAAATGGCTCTCATCCAAGCAACCTAGCCAAACCCGTCCGAGAACGGAGCACATACCCCATACAGGAGTTCCTGTTCGGGCTGTCTCGGCGAATGGACTCCCAGGGGCATACAGTTTCATCCTAGCTTCATTCACCCTCCTTCATCTCATGTCCCTGAGCTGGTCTGTACTTGCTGAAAGAGCTGCAACCCAAACCAAACCATTGTATTTGTCAATATGGCCTGTAAGGGCTGCATGACCCACCCTCTCATCCGCCGTGTTTTCCGCATTCACTGCTTCGTCCTAGATTCTCGTAACGGGAGCTTGCTCCGGCCGTCATCTGGGAGAGGGCTTGATGCCCACCCTGGCAAGAGTCCCGCTCGAGCGCCCGCGCAAACCCAGTGAGAGACCTCCGCGCGGGTGCACCTCAGTATCAGCCTGAGAGTGGTCTCCCACCACGGCTGTAGCATTAGCCCGCTGGTCAGATCTCTCTTCTTAACCCTCGGACTGATTTTCCGGCTTTCATTACGCGAACGGACAACAGACAACATGTTGGGAAGACACCCCAGGAAACCTTGAAGAGTGGGGTCACATGGAAGCTAACCCCGTCCCCTATCACGTTGAGAGATAACCTCATAGCTCTGAAGCGGCCGTTACTGGCTATCAGGGTTGTGTCTCATCTCCCTACCCTGCCTCCCCCCCCCTCGCCCCGAAAACATGGCTCATCGTCTAATGCGATGTTTATTGACCTAGGTAGTGATTGCGATGCGCACACCAGACAAGCTTTTTGAGCAGGTTGACAACTTCACAGACACACACCGGCCTCCTACATCTATCACGACGCATTGAATTCACATGCACGTGACACAGACAAACAGCGCTGAAGTACGGAGCGGTGGGGGCCCACACAAAGCCGTTAGAGAGCCTGGTCTGCGCGCGCTGGGGACGGGAAACGCCTCGACCATGGCCGAGCCGACCACACGGCCTCGGACGACGGAGGCTGCAGCTGGGGGCGCCGCGTCGCAAGTAGCATGCTATCGCATTCGTTGACATGATACATGGCTCATTGCTTCTCACTAACAAGCGTACGAACGTAGATTGGCGGAGGTGAAGACAATTGCATCAAGTCAGAGGACGCTGTCGTTGCTACCGCATACCATTCACGACAAAAGCACCCCGTCGTGCGTATTTTAAACCACTTGAAATAGCTAGCGGATAAAGTTTGGTTGAAGAGGGACGTTGTTTTTATCGAAGACGACTCTGGATGTAAAAAGCAAAAGAACAGTCGCTTTTGCATGGCGAAAGCGACTGCTTGCCTTATGTTTCATAAGTGTCTCTTATAGTCATACATGCATGGGGAAACCCCATGTCGGCACGAAGGCATCTTGCTTTTTCGTCGAAACGGTTATGTTGACGCTTCGAACAATAAAATACGTCTTTAAAATAGCAAGTGAGGAGTGTAACGCGCGATCCGACGTAGACACCAATTACGAATGGCTTTTGCCTGTCATTTCCTAACCACTGCACTGCCGTACGCTTCTAGCGAGCATCGCCGGCACTGGTGGAAAGGCAGCCGAGTCTTTCTCTGATCCGCCTCGTCACTATGCTGGGTAGGCCTGTAGCCGAGGCTTCCTCATGTGAGAGGCATCAGGACCACTCAGCGGCACTTGGACTAGAGGTGTTCGCTCATGAACCAAACGGGAACTTCCGCGCAGCCTCTGAGAGCCACAAAACTAGAAGCCGAGTGCCCTCAAGGCGTTGATGTCGACGTCGCCGTAATATTCCTCACTGAAAGACAAGACGACGTGGTCACAAGTGAAACACCGCTGTGTGGTCATTCGTAGACCTGCCTATTATAGTGTCGCTGGTAGTAAATATATCGCGTTTTGGGCGTGACTGCAAGGTTTTATGGTAAGTATACACATACAAATGGGGAATTGGCCACGATTCTGGCCAACACAACATGATTGAGCATTAAAGCAGGAAGTCCAATGATGTTGAACGCAGCAGAGCTCAGCAGCCATTACAGAGTTCAGCATCGGCGGTGGGGAAGCGGGCGGGCGGACAAGACACTCACCATCCCTCTACCTCCAGCGGGTCGGAGCAGCGGCCCGTGCCGTCCAGGTCACCGATCTTGAAGACGGTGCCCAGCGGGCAGCCGTACTCGCGTGGCGCGTTATTCATGCACACGTAGTAGAGTCGGCAGTCGTCCGGGTGCGCGTACAGCGAGTAAGTGCCGATGCCGCTGCTCCTGGCGGGACACTCGAAACGGCCCTCTTCCTCTGTGGAGCATTCGGGAAATAGCCATGAACCATGACTTTTCTCCTGCTGTGCGACTAATACAGCTTAGCTAATATTCTGAGGGCACGGCGAGTGTGTGTAATGAGTGAAGTGAAACGGGATTTTAAACATTTGCGTTTATATAGGCGATCAGCAGCCGGGAGCACCATGCACTCGGTCACGTGGGGCTTTGGGAGCACCTCAGAAATTCTCGATCACGCCTACGGGCGTTACAGGGTGAGAAACGCGCAGGAAAAGGCTGGTCCTTCCCCGAGCGCTTGACGCGTAGTGCCACCGCTGGCGCCATCTATCTGTGATCACTAACGCGGCCATCTGGGGTAAGCAGCACTAGCTCCACCTACCTTCGTCCTTGCAGGCAGCCACCTTGTCGGCCCAGACGCAGACGCGCTGGTCGCGGTCATACGCCAGGCCCGGCGGGCACTCGTAGCGATTGGCCTCGCCCGACCAGCACGACCAGAACGTGTTGCAGTTCAACTCGTCGGCGAAGATGCCGTAGAGGCGCGGGCAATTGGGCGACGAGATAGGCGGCTCTGCGGCACACGCGGGAGACTCGGAGGTCATTGGTGGAAAGCGAGGTGGTACAGGGATGGCGCAGCCAACAGGAAAATGCCTCAGTGCTTTACTCATAACCAGTGAGCTTCATAAAGGGAGAGAGAGAGAGAGAGAGAGAGAGAGAGAGAGAGAGAGAGAGAGATATATATATATATATATATATATATATATATATATATATATATATATATTGTTGTGTCCGTAATAAGTTGCATTCTAACCTGCGGGCGTAATGATCGTCCTGGTGGCACAATGGCTTAGAGCGCCTGCGTTGTGAGCGTGCGCGCGTTTCGTGTTGGGTTCAAATCTCAACAGCGGCTGCCTTTCTTTTGTAAGGAGACCTTTTATTTTCGCGTCTGTTCCCAAAGCTATATGGTCACGTGACCCGGCCAATCACAGGCCGGGCAGTAGGTCACGCCTGGGGTCGGGGTCGGCCGTGGGTCAGTGGTGGTCCGGGCGGCGCCGGGGAAGGTAAGCCGGCTCTCGTTGATATCCACGACGTAGCTGGCTCCTTTCCCTCCGCTCCCTTTGACTGCCACTCCGGTACTCCTACCCTCAGTTCTCGTTGATATTCACGACGTAGCTGGCTCTTTTCCTCCCCCCGTTCCCTTTGACTCCAACTCCGGCTCTTCTACCCTCCGCTGTCGTTGATATGCACGACGTCAGCGTGTCCTTGTCAACATTGTTATTCACAATGTTGACACATCTTTAGTGGCCGTTGCTGTTACCGACGACTGCTACCTCCCCGGGGATTATAGCCGCCGTGCATTCGTATCAAACATGGTCTAAGTGATGTAGGAAGTCAGGATGACTTCATGCCTATATGCTCCTGTGATTAATATACCCCATTTTGGTTAAACTCTTTTGGTCTACTAGAGATCAAATCGAGCCCGCCCAACACAACAATATGTATATGCATGTTGCAAAACTTTTTGCCGGATTTAAAACCCAAAAGTCACATCTCATTTAAACTTTACCCTCGTGCCTGACGGAGCGATAGCATGGGCGGACACAGGCCCCGGGACGCGCCCGTCAGACGGCGCGGCGACACTGACCGAGCTCCGCCAGAGGGCGCGGCGACACTGACCGAGCTCCGTCAGACGGCGCGGCGACACTGACCGAGCTCCGCCAGAGGGCGTGGCGACACTGACCAAGCTCCGTCAGACGGCGCGGCGACACTGACCGAGCTCCGTCACCCGGCGCGGCGACACTGACCGAGCTCCGTCAGACGGCGCGGCGACACTGACCGAGCTCCGTCAGACGGCGCGGCGACACTGACCGAGCTCCGTCAGACGGCGCGGCGACACTGACCAAGCTCCGTCAGACGGCGCGGCGACACTGACCGAGCTCCGTCAGACGGCGCGGCGACACTGACCGAGCTACGTCAGACGGCGCGGCGACACTGACCGAGCTCCGTCAGACGGCGCGGCGACACTGACCGAGCTCCGTCAGACGGCGCGGCGACACTGACCGAGCTCCGTCACCCGGCGCGGCGACACTGACCGAGCTCCGTGCGGTTGCCGCAGTCGACGCTGTGCAGGTAGTCGCAGTTCTCGCGCTCGTAGGTGGGGTCGGTGTCGTCGAACGCCAGGCCGTTGCCGCACGTCATGAGCTCCGACTGGCCGGCCAGGCAGCTCCAGTACTTATCGCAGCTGAATTCGTGCGGGAAGAAGCCGGGCAGGTCGTCCGGGCAGAGGAAGCTCTCCTGGCCGAGAGCTGCGGCGAGCGGGCGGTGAGTTAAGCGTGCTGTCAGTTCCGGCGGCGGCCGGCTTGACTGCCACGCGCCAGCGCACGTGTCAGAGGCATCGGAGACAGCTGCCAACATGGCTTAACGAGAGGGAAGTCTAACGCACAGCTCTTATGCCAATAGGCTTGGTCGGCGACGTCTCAGTTTTAAGACTCATAGCTGGGATATGTACATGACGCGGTTGGAGCTGCCAGACTGTGTGAAGGGGATGAGAGAAGTCGTGGCGTTTGTATTAGTAGTTTAAATATTGGTTGACCAGTAACGTTTACCTCCTTGGGCCCTGTGGCAATCCATTTCCACGGTCACTGCCGATGGAAATCCGCAGATCGCGGGTATGGTAGGAACATGATTGGGCCGATAGGATCAGATGAAAAAGTTCCCACGTCGATTGCATTTTGGCAATAGGATATCAAGCTGGTCTCGCCTAAATGGAGCGTACATCACCGTTGCCTCAACCCATGAGACAGATTGTGAAGCTCATGGCCATGTCAGGCAAGCAGATTTGAATATATGGAATATGCATAAGGCGCTAAAAACTTTCAATTCATGTGCACATATGATCGACGCATTAACTTCTGAATGACTCTGCTCGTAAACACAGCACGAGAACACTTTCAGACGGTCACTGAACAGTAACGCCGCGCACTTTGGAGCCCCCCCCCCCCCCTCGCCGGACGTCTGGCCGCCATCGCGAGGGCCGCTGTGGGGCGACCTCGCTCCAGTGCCGGGCCCGGCCGCTGTCCCACGGCCGGGCCCGCGGCGCCGGCGAATGCGCAGCGCCACACCTCGCCGCCTGCGATCGGCCGGCCGCCGGCGGACCCGGCGGCTGTGGCGGGCTCCACTGACTGGGGGTCGGTCGGTCGCCGGCGGATCTGACAGCCGTGGCTGGCTGCACTGACTGGGGTCAGCCGGCCACCGGCGGACGCAGCCATGGCTGGCTGCACCGGCTAGGGTGGCTGGCTGCCGGCGGATCCGGCAGCCATGACTGGTTCCACCGGCTGGGGTGGACGGCCGCCGGCGGACCCGGTAGAACCCAGCAACTGTGGCTGGCTCCACCGACTGGGGCCGAAACTGTGATGGTACTGAGGGGAGCGAGGGCAAAAGGTTTTAAAACCGTAAGCAATTCTGGTAGCTGCCGGCTCAGCAGGAAGCAGAAGCTTTGCCGGAGATCAGACATGTCAGGCTAAGACGTCGTGTAGATTACAGATAGACGCACACTCTGAAAGTAAGATTTTTACAACGTTCCTTGTAGAACATTGCATTTGATACGCCACAGATGCGCGTCATTTTCTTTTAATGCAATCAGTGGAGCACTGCACAAACGATCGACTGGAGTACTCTCGGTCCACTAGGCATTCACTGCGACACAGATGAGCTCTGAGCATTACTCGTGTCATCGATGTTAGAAATAACTGTAGTTTTCGTAGCGCTAGTGTGAGGGACATGTTGCTATGCTGCAATCTCCAAATTAGCAGGCCACTTTGGGCAAGTATCTGCTTAAGTGATATGCAGCGAGAGACTTTAAATCAGTGTTGCACCACCACATTTGCGTATGACCAGTGTTGACGGCACCTTAACCATACGGTTACGTGTAGTGGGAATTCGTCGTCACTTTCACGCTGGACACCCGTGAGTCATTAAACCAACCGTGGGCCCCAACAGTCTCCAGTGATTAAGTTTGCCCATGCAACGGAGCCATATTTTAGCTGCTGGAGCGCTGCGTAAGTGCTCAGATTGGTATTTCACGAAAGCCTTACATGTTTTAGAATACGGCAAAGGTTTTTTTTACAGTTTGACCGCCTTTCGCGGCAAGCTACATCACCATGGTAAAAGAACAAATTTGGAATGTCTCTCCTGCGTTTAAGGTGCTCTTGCGTGCACTTTAAATCTCATGTAGGTACAGCTCTTAAATCATGGGTATTCGAGGAAAAGCCAAACCGTCACGTGATACAATCGTTATTGTACAGGCAATATTTCTAAAAAACAACAAAATATTCCATTGATATAAGGAGGGACTACAAACGTTAGATAGCCTTGTACAGATGGTAACAAATCCAGCTTCCGGAGATATTTGTGATCGGTGACCATCATGGATTACTATAAAATCATGGATTTCATGAGAAGGAATGTATATACTACCCACACTTCTCCAAAATATGCATGTGAACGGTTGCATGGGTGCAGGGACGGAAGTCAAAACCCTTGATGAGTCTCGATGTTTGGCAGGATAATATGGTTGTGTCCCGAAGAATGATTGATGATCTAATCTAAGTGTAAGATTCGTCCGAATGCTTTCAGCGCTTTTCACTAGTCACAGACAGCATACTGCAAAATCATGGCAATTTTTTCGGACGAAGCGGATGCGTGGTGCCGTGATATCGCTCCATTTTGATGTGTCATGCAGGTGAAGTAAAATTCTCTTAAGGGGCTGCGCTGGTCAGATTCATTTTTCTTACATGATGACATACAAGCTGGTTGACATAGACTGGAGAGAAATTGTTATCGTAGCTTAATACAAAGGAGATGAGACAAATGCATGAAGTTGAAAGTGCTGCTGTATGCCATGGTGACAGAACATGCCTGTTGATATCCTTTGCTGTCGAAATATTTCCTTTGGAGAGGAAATTTGGTTGTAAAGACTAGCAAAAGTCTTCACCTTAACGCCTTTTCATTTTGAATCCACATGTTTTACACGCTTGATGTCAAGAGAACAGCGTTGCTCCCTCCCTCTCTCTGTGAGAACTGCAAGTATCTTCCAAACAAGCGTTCATCAGTTTGAGCGGCCCACGAGGTCGTGTTCTCCTGATCGCCTGCGACGCTGGCTGTGACCTCTGCACCAGGGTGCTCGGCCGCTGCCGGAGCCCGCCGGGGGGCCCGGCTCGACACCCGACGGGGAGCGGCGCCGACCGACAGACACCCCGCGCGGGCGTCGACCTTTCACCAAGCACATGTCTGGAGAAAGCTCCGGCGACCAACGACAGCCTTTTGTCCGCTGTTGATGAGAAGACGCTGTGTCAAGGTGCATGCTGCATTCGTTAACGGAGCGCGGCGCTGGGAGACAGCATCTCTACAGCGAGTGTTGTCGACGAGGCTGGGTGGAATCAGGGCCGAATCCCAACGGTGCCATGAGACCCTGGTGCTTTAACGGCCAAAACTTGCCAGAAGTGTGCCTGAGGTGACATGACCAGTAAACGGATGCAATGTCCTCAATCACCCTCGGAGTCAATCGCCGGCAGCCCTTGCAGAGATATGATCGGCAGTCGCGACACACCGCTGTGATAACCCTATGCTGCTACTGATTACTACTGATTACCCCCAACTGCTGCTGTGTAATGACTTAAACATATTGGTCTTGGCTAAGCAAAATTGTGTCTCGGGGCAGACCCACATCCCTAGATTCCAGGTGAGATTTGCACGTGCGAAACGGTTTGGGCTCTTCCGAGGAGCCAGCCGTGCCCGTGAAGCCTCTTCTGTGCTCTGAAGCCCACTTAACTTCTAAATCATGGAAACGTTTCAGGAAATTTTCCAGCCACACTTGGCATTTTGCATTGATAATTGCAAAAGTAGCGTGAATGTAGCTCATTAAAATTAAAAGAAGCGCAAGCGCTGACACTGTGAAACCTTTCTTGCGGGATCTGCCTGACATTTTCTAAACATCGTTCTCATGATCACACCCATACCCGTAATTTTCCTGAAATCTAAATACAACTCAGCCCCTAATCCATTCTATATGGGTACTCATGAGGTGACCCAACCGGCGAAGTCTATTGGCGAGGGCCTCCAGCGTGATCCCCAGCGGCAGAACGAATTGGCAACGGTCCGTGGTAGACAACTGGAGGCGGCGCAGTGTCAGCACGAGCACGAGCACAGGAGCCCACCCTACCAAACAGCCGGCAGGAGCATGGCCGTACCCGACACGCGGCAGGGGCACGACTGCAGCGGTCAACCTTAGCCAGGAGCAATTCTTTGTCAGACTGCAGGCAGGAGCACGACCCTAGCGGACAGCCTGATGCAGAGGCACGACCATACCGGACTGCAGGCAGGAGCATGAACATACCAGAGAGCCGCCGGCAGGAGCATGATTACGCCGGACAGCCGGCGACGGGAGCACGAATGTACCGGACAGTCGGCAAGAGCACAACCGTGCCAGACCGCCGGTAACAGGAGCATAGTCATACAGAGCAGTCGACAGCAGGAGCACGACTAGACCGGACAGCCGGTGGAGCACGACTAGACCAGACAGCCGGCAGGAGGACGAATACACCGGTCAGCCGGCGTGAAGCAAAATAATACTGGTCAGCCGGTAGGAGGACGAATACACCGGACAGTCGGCGAAAGCACGAGCATACCGAACAGCTGGCGGCAGACAGCGGCAGCGTGCAGTCGGCAGGCAGCGTCGGCCATCCCGGACAGCCGGCGGCAGGGAGCGGCGGCGGTAAGCCGCCGGAACCTGATTATCGACGACAAAAACATGGTCTTTCATTAATCCTTCCTTCAGCCTGACTGCTTGCACAACGTAAATGACTGCACGGATGGAACACCACCATGAAGCGTGGCATCGGCGCAGCCATGAAGTGCCAGGCACCTCGCGACGCAAAATGACGGCTCAGGGTTCCCTGGAGCTGCGTGCACTTTTGATTAGCATAACGAACCAGCGGACCGCGACGACAGACCCTTTTTGCTTGTTGACAAGGGATTTGGTCGGGTACTGTGGAGCTCTGCAGCGTGCACCCCCGCGCCGTGCACATCTCTCCAGTTCTGCGCAGCGGCGGAGGCGGAGGCGGAGGCTACGGCCGGCACACACGCGAGGCGGCACGGCCGTGCTCTACCACGCAGTGCCAGGCGGCCGGCGGCGGCGGGGCGGCGCCGGCGGGGACGCGACCTCCCGGCGCGGATCAGATCCGGCCGGCTCGCAGCGGCCGCCGCCGCCAGATTCCACCGGCGGATGCCCGGCCGTCCCGACCGCAGCCGGGGCCGACCGGCCGCCTTCAAGGTTAGCTCGGTGTGTCGTAGCACGACGCGGCAGCAGGCCCTCGGCTCAGCAGCTGCGGTTCAGACGATTCCGCCGCGGCCGTGCGTCGCATGAGGTTTATGTGCCTGCTATTCACGTGGGCCCTTCAGCCACCGACCGGCTTGTCGTGCGCAGTGGTACAGCAGCCCAGGTGACGCGGCGCGCCGGAATGTTTTAGTTCTTGATAGTTGACTGTAATCACCTCGAAATGAGGTGTGCGGCCTTTCTGGCTATTGGTTGGGCGTACTAGCTACTTGCGAACAGTTTTCCGCCTCAGTACCAGCAAGCGCCAAGCACGGATGCTGTTGTCTTCAGCGCGACCAGAATACGGGATATCTGTTAAACCGATCGTCTGCTGTGAGCTTGGCTGGATCTTGACATGGAGATGCCGTGTCATTAAGCGATGACATCAACAATGGTCTCCCTATGCCGTCTCTCTCTCTCTCTCTCTCTCTTCTCTCTCTTCTCTCTCTTATCTCTCTTCTCTTCTCTCTCTCTCTTCTCCTCTCTCTCTCTCTCTATCTCTCTCTCTCTCTCTCTCTCTCGCTCTCTCTCTCCTCCTCTCTCTCTCTCTCTCTCTCTCTCTCTCTCTCTTCTTCTCTCCCTCTCTCTCTCCCCTCTCTCCTCTCTCTCTCCCTCCCTCCCTCCCTCCCTCCCTCCCTCCCTCTGCCCATTAGCAGGGGTTTTTGACCGCCATCTGCTGCGCCACTCGGCGCGGTAAGTTTCTATCTTGCCGATGCTGATGTCACGATGCTTCCAAACACATCCTCCCCATGAAGCTGCCGTTTTCCCGCCGCCCGCCCATCGCAAGGCACGAACACTGGCCACAAGCGCCCGAACAACAGGTCACGGTCACGGGTAAGGCGCCCCTGGCCTTGCCAATTGTGTCGTAAAGAACTGACGAGAAAGCCTGGCGAATATTTCCATGGATTGTGAGAATGTGCTTTCAGTCAATTAACGACAGTGCGATTAGTCGCCATTCTGTTCACACATGCATGTCTATTCCATACCTTTTGATTTGCCAATAGAAATATATGAGCAAAATAAGAATTATCAAATTATTTTGAACAGCCTATTGGGCTTTTATTCAGCCGAAGAAATGCCACATACGTTCATTTCATGTCAAAAGTATCATGCTACAAACGTCATGTCTTGTCTGCTGTTTCTATCACATTGACAAGCGAAGTGGATTACGTGGACTTTAATATTTCAACGCGCCATAGCTCATCGTCTTGTTTTTTCAGACACATTAAATGTGCGGCACTGCCTCACCTGATGCGAACTTAGCTTACGAACGACGCAGTTTTTCCCAGGCTGGTGAATATTTTTCGAGCCGTGACAGAAACGGTCGCAAAAATCTCCGGTAAGTGATGAGAGATCACATGTTTTGGAGAAAAGCGAAATGTAAAGCTACGTCTTGCCACTGAATTGTGAAGCCATCAGTGGAGGTTCTACGACGAATTTTGCTTCAGCTTACAGTAATCTGCAGATTCCTTTCCCGCTTGACTATCTGCCAGCCTGGATCAGCCTCACCACGCTAGGTCGCACCTGACCGACATCAGAGGTCATGTGGGGTCACACCTGATTACTATCAGAGGTCATGCAAGGTCACACCTGACCGCCATCAGAAGTCATGTGAGGTCAAGCTACGCGCGTTGAATCAACGTCATTTGCTATGCCCATATACAACAACTATGTGGGTATAGCGACACATCTCTGTAACAATGACTTTTAGATAACAGAACGATCGGAAGAGCAGAAAAATTAGGTTAGATGCGGTGACCAGCTTTGAAATGACTTCATCTTTATATTGGCCTGACCTTGACTTTTAACCTTTTTGACACGATAGTATGATTCTGAAGCCGAAGATACACTCGTTTGTTGCAAGTCGCAAAATTGAAATATTAACATTCTGGGTGCTTGACAGACATCAGTTCGCGATTTGCATGTACAAGTGACCGGACTCATCTACTGCCGTTTGAATCAGTTTTCACTCCGACAATTAGATCCTAAAACAGCGGAATGAAGATATTTTCACCCCAACCCCAGGTGGTAACGTGAGACAGACTACACAAAGTGGTGTTAGGCTAGCGTTGAAACATCTTCACGATGTCTTGGAACATATCATGATAAATATGAGCTTGGTTGACTTTTAAGTCTGGATTCGCAAACCATCGCTACAAAACGCTTTGCATGTCATTCTTGCAACGTAGAAAAGCGTAGAGCAACATTCCAAGTCCACGTATTTCAAGGTGCTCAACAGATCTGTGCAAGCAGAGACACGTGAGCACCCTGGTCTGGCTTTTACGACGCGGTGCGCTGCGAACGCCAAGTGATGTAATCTTTACTCACCGTTCAGTCAAGTTTAAGGGCGGTATGCTACAAAGCATAATGCACACAATGCAAAGCGACCACGTCACTAACGTTGACGACAGCGTGGAATGATACCCTGAGAAACGCACGCTATCTGACGGCTATATGCTTGAGTGATGCAACGCCTCCATCACACGAGATCGCTCACGCGCGGCGCCTGAGAAGAATAACGTCGGGCGAACACGTTTAAGGGGCCCGGCTCTCAAACGGACGCATCTGAATGACAGCCGTCTGCAGTACCGCGTTACAGAAATACCGCAGAGTCGACCGCTCGGCCGGCACGAACCTGGTACGCTGAGCGTCAGCAGAGCGAGCGTCACGGCGAAGTGCATGGTGCCGGCGTCCCAGGTGCAGTAGCTCGCCGGCCGCCGGCCGCCGCCCCTTTATAACGTCGGCCCGTGCCGGGGCGTGACCGTCTCGAGCGGCCCGACAGGCTGGTACTGGCGAGGCGGGGGGAGTGGGGAGGCTGAAGTCAGCCGAACCTCGGGATGGGAGGGCTGAGGAACGAGCAGACTGAGGCCAGCGGAAACGGGGGTCGGCGAGGCTGGTGGAGTGGGCAATACAGAAGCAGTTGAGGCTGGGGTCGGGAGGCTACGGATTGGGCAGAATGGAGGCAGTTCGGACTGAAATCGCGGAGGCTGGGGAGTGGGCAAACCACACTGGCTTAAAAGCCAGTGCGGGCTGGGCTGGGGAAGTGGAGAGGAGAGAGCTTTCCATGCCCCCTTCTGGAAGGCCTGGAAGGCCTCTCCCCCCAAGGAGAGAAGATGCCGATTGTCGTGGGGAAGACAGGAGATTGTAAGGATGACATTCTGGGCGAGGTCGGGCGATCGGGCAGGCTAGGGACCGACGGGACTTGTGAGGCGTGGGCCCGGGTAGGTGACGATTGGGACTGCCGGGCAGAGGGAAGTGGGTTATGGAGAAGTGATCTGTGGGCATGCGGAGGGAGGGCGAGACTGAAATAGAAGAGGCTGGGATAAGGAAGGTAGGAGATGAAATATGCTCGAGTCCGGAGGTTGAGAGGCAAGGACCGCGGTGACTTGGGACCTGGGAAGCCGCGGCCGGCACCGCACCTGGCTAAACCAGTGAGGGCCTGAGGGGGGGGGGGGGGTCAGTGGAGATGGCGTCGGAGGGCGGTGACCGTTGAGGATCGGCTTGAGTAGGCGACCACAGACGACGGCCAATGACCTCGCGAGGCACGCAGAGTCCGGCGAAGAGGCTGTGTCACAGCCGTATGGACTCCAGTACGACACTTTTGCTTGACTAACATCATACTGACGAGCATTCCGAGAACGTCAGGGGGCATATGTGACTTGGCACGCTCCTGACACACCGCACACCGCAACTGTGGCTTAAGTTTGCTTCGGTAGCAATGGCAGCAAACAAAGGACCACGTGCGGGTTTCATGAGAAGCTCTGAATTTCCTGGAATTTGGCTACAGGGAAGAGCTAATATTCTGATGAAAATGGCGATATAGCCCAGTCTTAGACGTGATTAAAAGCTTGAGAGCACGCGTCAAGGAGTGCTGTTGCACGCGCTGCATGAACTATCTGCCCCGGGATCAACGCCCCGGGACGCTCTTCCCGTACCCGACGCCATGTACCACGCAAGTCACGCCATTCATCATGCGGTCAAGCCTACAAACATGCCACGGGCTCTGACAGAGATGGCTTCAGTGCCGGTGGGCTGATGACAGGCCTCACCGCCGAGCTTCTGCGGGAGGGAATCTCGGGAGCGCAGGGCGCGGCGTGCAGGGGACAGGCTCGGCGGCCGGCAGTGGCGCCGGCACGGCTTATCTGGCGCTGAGCCTGTTCGGGGCTGGCGAATCCCGACCTTGGCAGTCATTAAGCGCCGAGGCAATCCTGGCGCACGATAGCCCGACTCAAGGCGCGCATCAGAGCCTGCTCGGACAGGGCGCGTCCGCTCTGCCTGCTTTATAGGCGGAACACCGTTTCAAAGGTGGTCATTATAGGGTTACCACTTGTTGTTCCTGTCGTGAGTAATAATCTGTGATTCCAAAAGTCGGCCATTTATCAAAGAAATGCCGGATACAAAGGAAGCAACGCTACTTTTGCGTTTTTATCCGATTGCACCGCTGCGATCAAAACCGGGTAGGAACTGTGGGCAGAGGCCAGCTACCTGCCTCCCCCGATCCCAGTCTATATGGAAAATTGATTGAATCTACCACGCTGCATGGAAAGATACGAGGTAAATATAACCTTTGCCTGACCATCCCTTAAGGTGATTCATCGCCACTGGTCTAAACACTGACGCGATGGCGAGTACCTCAACGTGTTACTCATCCCACAGCACCATTGTGGCAGCCAAATTTGGCAGCAATAGTACAGCGTAAAAAGTCGCCGGCTGGCGCAAAGAGAAATATCAACAAGTGAGTCAGAAGGGTATGCTCAAACAAAATCCCCGTTTAACCGTGCAATCGTATCCGAATGCTTGACTTCGTTCGACCTCACCACCAACGTTTGTCTTACGAAAAAAATCTAAATTGTACTAAAAATATCATTGAGGGGTGGGTTCCAAACTTGTATGGAATTTTGAACTGAGATACTCATTTTGAATATTATTGATTGCATGCCCACATCCTTGCCATTTTAAGACTTCCAACCCTCTTGTTTGTGAGCTCGACGCGCCCGACCTTGTGAATGCTTTTTTGCGCCACCGCCAAATTTTTTTTTTGCGCTCAATGGCCAAGAAGTGTTCAAGGTCAAGAAAGATAGAATTGTCGAATCATTCGTGTTTGGCGTACGTTGGCACCATTAGTAGTATTAAAAGACACCAGTGGGCCTGCAACCAGCTTGATGCGTTGAGTGCAAGTTACGAACACGATATAATTTCATTGCATTGGTTTGAGGCAATCGGCCGGTTCGGACCATTCAACGCCAGATGATATTATTTCTTATAAATAGTGAACGTGCATAAGTGGAGAAAAAAACGAAAATGAGACATTCCTTACGAAATTCTAACATTGCAGGCAGATCAGTTTGAACTTTTAACAGGCAGATAAGTTTGCGGAAGTTTGAAAAATAGGCTGGATAAATGAGGATGTCATCACCATGGACGACTTTTAAAAGGAACTCGGTGCTGTGCCGACAACAGTAGGTCCTCGTAGCCTTGCGTTTTTGCTGAAATTTCGTGCGTTCAACGAGGCTATGGTCAACCGAAAGTGGAGTATCGCGCGACTGACTATGGGAAAGAGGGCAAGACAAATGAATGTATGTGACTATGGGTGAATGAAGTGTGCTAAATTCTCAGACGAGCCAACATCTTCTCCAAACGGTCATGAAAATGATCGATGGTCAGGGCGTAATGTCGGGTTTAATGTCATGAAGTTGTACTATAGTGGTGTCAGCCCACTTGTCTCAGCCAAAAATGTTTTACCAATGTGCGATTCGAAGGCTTCATAGATATGTAATCAATGGGGATGTCTGTGATTTGAGGGGTTGTCAAAGTATTTTTGGCCAATTGGTCATTCTTATCATTGGCTATTCCCCATTATACCTCTGTGCCCTGGAATCCACAAAAAATATATCTATGCCCGGGGTGTGTAATATATAACGGAAATTGGTAAGGGTGACAAGGAAGCTGTGAGTGAAGTGTGGGCTGATAAAAAACTGTACAGCTATGTTGGAATCTGAACAAGTCACAATTATCCTCGTAGTGATTGTTTTGTAATGCAAGAAGAAGAGCAACTACGTAAATTGTTCAGTGTATTAACGAGGAGCATTATTCATATAGATAAGGGAGTAGTAATAGCCTTGTTCCTCGGAGAAAACCGGGAGAAAACCCCCTCTATAATAACCCATCTATACACCATTCTTCTGTGTTTTCTCCGAGCGATAAGGCTATTACTACTGTTTTATCTATGAGAGGAACAGCTAGCTCATTTAAATGAACTGAGACGCCATTCAGTAACCAATAATTTTCATAGCGATGTTCGTCACAAATTATCAAACACGCAGTGTGGTCGTTGGCCTCGGCGCCATTGGTATAAACAAAACAGTAATTTGGATTATTAGCAGTAAGATGATTAAATGTCTGTGGAACACTAGCTGTAATTACGAAGCGTAGGATTTTCGAAGGGAAAAAGCTTATCGTGGGGCTCACCGGCATGGTGGCACAAATCAAGCAGGTGACATGGAAGGACCGTGCAGAGCATAATTAATGGTGTTATGATAAAATGTGGTGTACTATGCTGTGGTCAGGCCTGTCCGGCGCTCCGCCGGCCCTATATGGCTGTGGAGAATGCGAGGTGAGATATGTGTAGGTGAACATATTGGGCGGTTGCAATGTTGTCGCTCTTTTGCTACATATTGAAAAATGTGTTCCATGCTTCAAAGAGCTATGAGAGGCCATAACTTGGATGTCCACCTCAAGTGCCGAGATTGGCAAAGTGTGGAATGCTCCCTGTGCCATCCTCAAGAGCATGTTTTGAATGGTGAGTCGAGTCTAAAGAGCGTGCTCACTTCCTCCCGCATATACCACGCAGCTGTATTCAATGATGGAAGAACTAAAGATTTGCAATGAATTAGAAGTGAGAAAAGTTAAGAGAAACAGTAAAGTGTAGCGGTCAGCAACACATGGTGACTTTCGGATGCACCTGAAAAGACTTAGGTTCAGATCAGATTCAGTCTTTTTAGACATTTGGAACGAACGTGCCCCTCGCGTTTTCGCATTGACGATCTCGAGTCAAGTGCAATGCCTAGAACTGGAAAAAAAGCTATGCGAAATGAATGCATTGTCTGTCCAACTCAAGTCGAAAATACGAAGTACCACAGATAAATTTGCTCAAAATCATAACGACAGATTTCGGAGAGGAAAAACAGAACCCGCCACGCACTGATCACTACTGCACCTTGTTCAGGACGGGCTCGGAGCGGTGGAAGCGAGCGTACACTCTGATACTCGGATGCACATAACCAAGCGCTAGATCGCACCATCGTTATCATCAGCAAAAAAGTAAGGAGGAGCTACCGGTGGTGATGTATAAAATAAGTCGTTGATAATAAAACTAAAAAAACGATTATATGAAACTCCACTGCAGAAGGCCGTTCTCTAGATGGCGGGCATAAAAAACTAGAGCTGTGCGTTTCACCCAAGACATTCTGTTCCGAGAGAAATCAGTGAGATGATGTACTAAATTGCCCATAAAGAAAGTGTTACACTTTGCATGGGATTTTGAACTGGGATGGCTACTTCAAAGATCATTTCGTGTAGCTGACAGTCCTGTCCGTCTTAAGTTTTGAAACTCCCCGGCTGTTGAGCTAGACACGTGCGAAGTTGCGCAAGCTATTCCTAGGTCACTTACGCATCCATGATGCCACAGAAGCAACACCCAAACACGTCAACCACATTGGTCATGCGGCGTTCAATCGTCAAAATGGGTCTGCGTATGGCGTACGTGGGCATGATTTCTGGAG